AAAGCATTGTATATTAAAAATTCAATGTTGTTGTTGTTGTTAAGCATTTTATCCACCCTGGTTCTGAAGGACCTGGCTCCCAGGTCACCACAATCCAATTCAAGATGCTGATAACCTCCATAAAAGCCAAAATGGGTTGGGCTCAAATGCCTGAAAGAGTATCACCTGCCATATCTTGCCTGAACATTAAGGTCTTCAGAAAAGGCCTTTCTCTAAGGGTCAACATTAGAAGATGTACATTTACAAGCAGATGGGCCTTGTCTTTGGTCATGCCCTCACCCAGAAGTGCCACCGTGAGGGGGGATACAGATGCTGTATTCTTTTCATTTCCAAAAATATTCCTCATTGCTCGGGCATTTAAAACTTTTAAATTCATTTTGCACTAATTTATATAATGTATTTGCTTGACCGGTTTACTGGTTAAATAGTTTTGATTCTTCCTAGACTGCAATCCTCACCAGAAGTTAAGCCCTGTTGCTCTTTACATACTTTTGAATAAACATGTATAGAATTGTACTACTGCTGCTGTAGAGAAATAGAGATAAATTAGAAACAAGCTCTGGGTATACGGTGCTGGGATAGTTTGTGGATTTAAAGCAAATAATGTTGTTGTTGTTGTTGTCTGTGAGGTATGCTTTCAGATAAGTTGAGATGGTTCTCCCAAGTATTCTTTTAAAAATTTGTCATAGATGAGCATCAATACTTCTAGACAGAAATGAAGCCACTGTGACTATATTGTCTTATTAATCAATGACAGGTGTTAGTTATTTCTAATGTTAATAATACTTACATAAGAAGTATAATTATTGTACTTGTTCCAAGAATACATTCTAGTGACTTTGCCTTAGTTTATGTGGACATAAACCCAAGATGTCGCTCTGTGTAGCAGCCACGAATATTACTATTAAAGGCCATTTGCTCAAAGCCAGTGTAAGAATGTGTTATTTGGCTATAATTGCAAGTAGCATTGTGTGATTCTTAGTTTTAATGTATTTGTCTCAAATAAACAGTAGACAGGATTTGTATGGCAAGGTAAGCTTTTAGGCGTGCAAGCAACACATTGTGGCTTCTATGCCCAAGGAGCTGTGATGATTCCAACAGTCAGGCACATAATGGCTCCAGCAGCAGTTCCTGGCAGTATCCTGTTTTGTCTCATTCAACAAATGCATTCCAAAACCCAGCACTGCATCACTTTGCAAAATGCACTTTGAAGTTATTGCTTAAACAAGCAAACACACAGGGATGGGGGTTGTGGGAAGCGCACAGGATTAGGGGGTCATGTTGCCCTTACCTACTTTTTTTTAAAGCATGAATAACTCAGAGGGGAAAAAAGTAAAGACAAAGACCCAGCCAAAAAGGATGTTTTAGGGAGGACCCCTCAATTCTCCTTATCCAAGCAGGATCCCTTGTAGTATTTCTGAGGAGTGGATAACAAGGCCCAAGTGTTCCCTCTGTTTTGCCATTGACCCCAACATCCTAGACACATGCCTAACGAAGCCCTGGGGTTTTCCTCCAATTTTGCAGGTTGCCCTTGTGCTAAAGCAGGGTAACATTGCAAATCTGAGGATGAGCTACAGATACCTGATCCCACCCCGCCCCAAAAAAAGCCAACATGCTGAGAAATGGGGTAAAAAGAGGCCCATTCCATAAAACACTGTTTCACTTGCAAGGAGCTACATGTTAGGTTTGACAGGTTGCCACAAAGCATTATACAGGGAAGCGGGTTACTTATCTGTAGCCTGTACTGTACACTTTGCCAGAAGCCAACCTCCCCAGCCAGTAACTCTCCCACCCCACCCCCCATTAGTTCAAATAGGGCTGTTTGTGAATATCTAAGTTGCACGATCATTTGTGCACAGAGTCCCAGCTTTATTTATTTATTGTTTGTTCGTTTGAAGGACAGGAAAATCTCACACAGCCCTTTCAAAGTAGCACTGGGACTCCATGGAAAACCCTTCATGGCTACAAGAAGTCGGTATTGCAGAAGTTGATCAGAGGAACAGATTTGTATTCTCCGAAAGGTCTTAGCCCAAAGAACTTTCAATCACAGTGGGGCGTGAGGAAGTCTTTGTCGGCCATCCTTCACCTGCCTGCTAGGCATGTGGCCAGAGCAACGAGCTGTTCTGCTCCATTTGCTAAGCAGTCATGTAGGGGTCTTTTGCTTGTTGTGTTATCTGGGTTCAGTGAAGGAAGCTCTTCATCAAGCCATGGCTGGTTGGAGTGGGTTCTAAGCTTTAGAAGCTGTGGTTTATAAGCCACCCAGGCATCACTTGAGGTTCAGACAACATGATAAGCCACCATGGCTTTGAAGCCAAAATGGCTTAGCATGTCTAGCAAAAACAGTCCTTTTTTAGGCTTGCCAAGTAAATGGCGAAATCTGCCTTGCTATTCTGATAGCAGGTTTAGCTGCAAATAGGCCTGGCTTTTCTAGAAAAATTGTGCAGTAATATAGTCTTCTTGTTTAAAGAAAATACAACAGGAAGTTATATGCTGCTGCTTTGGTTACTCATAATAGAAACTGAGAATACAGTTTTGAATTTGTGAATTGTTTGTTGAGCAATCTCTGATAGCTAAACAAACAAAGAAGGGGAATTCCCGGATTATGAAAGAAAGTTTCAGTTAGTATTTTGTATTAAACTAATTTTGCCTTCCAGACAATTCCCTGCCCTGGTCAGACTCTAGCTTAATGAATGTATTAAATCAAGTCAAGAATCTTTCATTTCTGCACAAGCAAATGAAATTCACCTCTGCTGTTTTGACAGTTTGTATATTTGATATTAAGAGCATAGAGGCTACTTGCATCTTGAGGATTTTACTTGGGTGTTTTTATACTAGAATATGATGCATTTACTACTAATCATGTATATTTTATAGAGAACCAGTGATAAATAGATATAAACACAGATAGAGGCACTTACCTGCCTTATAGCTGAACAAAATTCATGCTGCTTTGTATTAGGAATGTATCTTAGGTGTAGAAAAAAGAAGGAAAAGTGAGTGGCAAGGCATCTTGCATAGGGAAGATACTCCAAAATGAAGTGGAGAGATCAAATATGCTGATGATTTCTGTCAACCATGTACATGTATTAAAATGAACTGAAATGACCACACATATATGTATTTTATATTATTTATAAGCCTTTTATAAATATAAATATATTAGCATATATTTTATATAACAGAGCTGCCAAGACAGCTCACAGGATAAATTTAACCAAAATATTAGTATTGTTAAACACAGCATAAACAAGTACAACAGATACAATGAAAACAGCAGACAAAAAATCAGCAGCATTAAAAAAAACTCTAGAGTTGTTGAACAACTGTTAAAGCTACAATAGTCCTCTCCAACCTGGTGAACTTCAGGTGTAGAGATCTACAACTGTCATCATCCTCAGCCATCATGGCCCTTGGGCATATTGGGCCAGGATGAAGGGAGCTGCAGTCCACACATGGGGGACACAAGGATGAGGAAGGATGATCTACAACATGATTTAAGATTCTTAGTAACATGGGTTGTTTCCTAGTGACAAAGGGACATTAGACAGGAGCCAGGTGACCCTCTGTAGACAGATCTTCTCATAATGAGGTACCACTACTCATTCATCACCACCTGTCATACTTCCCTTGGTTAAGGATTTTTTGGTGTGGTTTCTGAGATTCCTGGTTCACATGATCACTAGTGATTGAACACTCAAAATGGTCAGCGGCACATGCTGCATTGCAGTTTGTTCCAGCGGCCATATTGAATATTCAAGTCTCCAGTGGGGGGGTTGCCATCATTTGTTGTGTCATCTGATTCCAGGCAGCAGGGATAGTTTGAGGGTTAAACCACCTTCAAATAACCCTACAACAGACCAGCTAGGGATTCAATGTTCGAAATGGCTACCAGCAGACACCACAACCTACTGTGACTTAAATGAAAAATTTTGCACAACCAGTTTCAGAGCTTAAGAGAAGTCCATTTTCCAACATAAGGTGATGGTGATTATTAGATTGCCCCTTTCTTGTAAATATTTCTAGTAATAGAAAGTGATTATGTTCAGAATATATTATAATTTAATAATGCTAAGTAACAACCTCGTGCCTTTGAAATCATGGATATTTTACATCAGAGTGCCTGGGGTTTTGATAAAATTAAATTATATATCAAATTGTATCAAATTATATCAAATATTATATTAATTATTCTTATATCAAATTATAAGAAATGGAAGTATAGATTGTCTATTTGTGTGAAAGTTAGCATGAGACATGAATTCAATTTCAGTGATCTATCTGATTATAAAGAAATTCAAATTTGAATTATTCAGCCTTGATTCTTAATTTCAAGCAAACAGTTCTGACGATTAAAATGTTTTGCTTTTATACCAGATGCACTGAGAGGTACAATTTGCCAGATAAAGAAATTAATAGAGTTAGCCTTATGTTTATAGTCAGCTCAGACTGTTGGTAAAGCGCTTTTATATTATCAAGTCCTTCTAATGGTGTTGTTGTAACCTTAACCTATGTACTCAGAAGTATTGCTAATTAAATACTTAGTGGATATAAAATACTCAGTTATAGGTTGATCTGAGAATGTCTCTTTGTTGCAGCTTCTTTCTTTCAGGTTCATGTAGCTACAATGTCCCTGCATTTTGTGCATCTGTCCACAATATGACTGTGGCCAGTATCTTCCCTTTTTCCAACCCATTTCCTTCTTTGGCTGGCTGGCTGTCTGTCTGTCTCAAGCCTGTTGCCTGCAGCTATGTTTTCAACTCTTTGCAACACTCATATTTCCCTTTCTAAATGGCGGGGATGTTTTATAGTTTTTCTATAGCTGAGCACAAATTATAGAAAGAAAATTTACTGCATTTCTGAGAAGAGATACTTCCCAGTGCTTCCATGTTGACATTAATTACACTTTTAAAGTGAAAACCTGTTTGTGAAATGTAACGTATATTTTATGTGCTGATCACAAATATAATGGTTTTATTTATTTATTTATTTATTTAATATAGGGTAATGCACAGCTAGTTCGAGATGTTGATATAGAGAAAGTGTCTTCATTTGAGAACCCTTATGTAGATGCAATAAAGAGTTTATGGAATGACCCTGGTATCCAAGAATGCTATGACAGACGACGGGAATATCAGTTGTCAGATTCTACTAAATAGTAAGTATAAACTGTGAAGATGCTTTGGATAATAACAGGCATTTTAAACATTTATCATGGACAACCTTTTTCCAACAGTTTCTGAAATACTCAGCCTGTAGGAATCTTCTTCAAATTTCTTTTCTATATTGAAATGCATATCTGGTAATATTTTAGGAAATCTTGTATAACTATTGGCAGTATGTGTAATTTAAAGATATATGTGTATGTATGCACAGTTATATATACTCTGATTGAAACTCAGCAACCTAACTCTTCAAGCCTTTACCTGGGTATGTGAGGTGACACACACACACAACATATTGAAGGAATATCTTTACACTAGCGGTTGGGAAGGTGGCATCTGCGGGTGTAGATGCTGTGTTTATCCATCAAGCACTCTGTGGCAAGAAAACAGCTTCCTGTTTCCTATTTCTGAGAAGAGTAGAAGCAGCAAAAGTTGATAGATGGTGGGTGCCTAGGCAGATGAGGGCATGTTGGGGGCAGAAAAGACAGGAGAACTGGCATGCAACATCTAGTAGGTGTGGTGATGAGGTAGTTGCAGGTAGAAGCTATGGGAGCTGGCAGGGAAGGAAGGAGGAGCAGGTGATACAAAGCTGGCAGTGGTGTGGACAAAGTAGGGGTTGTACATGGAGAACAATGTTGGGGAAAAGCTACAACAGATAGATACGGACCTAACCGAACAAGCAGTTAAAGAGGAAGATTAGTAAGCTAAAAATAGGGAAATCTCCTTGGATAGGTGGATTAGGATCGTAATAATAAAGCTTTTAGAAAGTTTCTGATTCCAAAATTAAAAGCTTTGTTTAATAAAATATTAGAAGGAAGAAATAAGGTAGCATCTTGGAAAAACTCTTCAATAGTTTTAATTCCTAAGCCTTGTAAAGACTTGACAGATCCAGGAACTTACAGGGTCTTATATTGTTGATAAACCAAGGTGCAAATGTTTTTACTGCAATATTGGTAAATCGAAGGAACAAATTCATTGATAAATATATTAAAGTGGATTGAAGTGCATTTAATAGTAGGAAGGCAGATGGCAGATTTGACTAGTTGAACATATTAGAGGTTACACATAAAGGGAAATTTAAAGCAGTCATAATAGTATTAAATATTTTCAAAGCCTTTGATTGTGGGGAATGGCCAACAATAAAGATATTAATAGAAATATTAGAATTTCAAAAATGATTTAATAGAGCAATTATAATATAATTGGTATAATAGAGCAATTATATTCAGGAAATGTGGCAAATGTGATAGTAAATGGCAGTATAATAGAACAATTATCTCTGGGCCAAGATAGTAGACAAAGATGTCTCCTTTCTCCGATATGGTTTGCTTTAGTTATAGAATTATTAGCAAACAGTATTAGGAATGATAACACAATAAAAGGTATAAGTTTCAAGAACAAGATTTTATTTGCTGATGATACTTTGTTAATAATATAGGATCCATTTAAAGCTATGGATCACGTTAGAATACATCTGGAAGAATTTGAAGAGCTAGCGGGTTTAAGGATAATTTTGATAAGTTGAAAAATGAAATAAAAGAAAGAATGAATGAATTTAAGAAGATTGAATTATCTTGGTTTGGTGGAATGGTGATATATAAAATGAAAATCTTGCCTCAGATAATTTTTTTGCTTCTGTTGTTACTGGTAAATATAACATATAAAGAATTAAAAGAATGGCAAGCTGTTTTGTAATGGGGATAAGAAGTAAGGATAAATAAAGCAAGATGGTATAGATCACAAAAAAATAATGGGATTAGATGTCTCTAATGGAAAGTTGTATTGTATAGCAAATGAAAAGTTGTATTGTATAGCAAATCAAGTGAGGCATGTACCAGATATTATATTGCAGGGGTCCTCAAACATTTTCAACAGGGGGCCAGTTGAAAGGTGGTGGCGACTGGCGTGGGCCGGTGAGGGGGGGGGCCTGGACGCATGGGCTGGTGAGGCATCAGGCACGCACGGCGGTGGCTCACTTGCTCGGAGATCTCTGAGTGAGCACGCCACCACCTCCCCGCCTATGCGGTGAGGTGGCGGCGTGCGTGGGAGGCGGCGCAGGCCAGATAAATGGGCATGACGGGCCAGATCCGTCCTGCAGGCAGTAGTTTGAGGACCCATGTTATATTGCAACCCAATAAGGTAATGTGGTTAAAGTTAGAACTTTTTCAACCAGCAGGATCTTTGACAGATTTTTTCAAATATGAATTAAAAAATTAGGAGTAGTTGTAGAGCAAGAAAAGAGAATGCAAGTGACAAAAGAAATGCAGCTGCAAAACTGCAACTCCATCTCTCCCAATGACAGACACTAAAAGTGCATGCAGAGAGCCTGGAAAAAAGGATAAATGCATCTGTGGATCTCAAAAAGTTGTCTGTGCTTGCTCTTGTTATTCGCCGTGGGCTCTGTGCATCACACATATGGGTGCTGTGCCTGCGCAGTGCCTAGGCCGGAAGATTGAAAACTAACGTTTTTTTCTTTTGGCAGGAAAAACTTTGCTCCCTCCCCCCCAGTGGTATAAATAGAGTGGAGTGGCCGCCATTTTACTCAGTCTTTGCGACCGCCGGTCACTGTGCCTCGTGCCTGTTAACATCCCTTGCTAAGATCTTTGTGCTTACTGTCCATTTTTGCCTTTATCCCTTCTTACATTCCAAGTTTGTATATCTTCCTCCTTTTTTCCTCTACTCTTCGCTTTCAAAAAAAAAAAAAAAAAACCAAAAATATTATCTTACCCTCTATCCTGTCGTCTTTTTCTTCTTTTTCCGCGATGGCGCAACGAGCGGCCTTCCACAAATACACCACATGCGGATCCAAAATGTCGCCTGCGGATCCACATGATCTATGCCTCCTCTGCCTCAGCGAGGGGCATAGAACTGACAAGTGCGGCCACTGCTTGGCGTTTACCAAGCAAGCGAGGAAGAACAGGGAGAATCGTCTCCGGAAACTCCTCTGGAACCAGGCCTTGATGCAGTCCGATCAACTGCTCTTACGGCCTGGTTTCTCTTCAGCCGCACCTCCTCAACGCTCTTCCTCAACTGTGAGCACTCCTCCGAACTGTCCTGCTTCCACCACTCCTCCACAACGTCCTTCGGCTGAAGGCGCTACTCCAACGGAGACCCAGGTGCTGCCTTCCTCCCCAGCCAAGAAATGGGAGAAGCGCAAGCACACTGGCTCGGATAAGCCTTCCGCTCATAAAATACCGAGGAAGGAGAAGGGGGATAAGCCCGCTCGTAAAACCAAGAAACCCGACCACCCCAAACACCAGGGCTCGGGTTCATTGGGCTTCTCGATACCGTCTGCCACCACGGTACCGACCCCTTCGGGACCGGCCCTGCAATCTACTATGCAGGTGACACTGCCGGGATCTCCCAGGCCTATCATTCAGTTTGAGAGCGTGCCGCCTCAACACACGGAGGAGCCACTTTGGGAGTCCATCTCTGATGGTGAGATTAGAGACTCCCCACCGAGGAAACGATCTCTGACACCAATGCCCACGACTGAGCCACCCGCGGAGTCACCGTTGCCACCCAGGCGTCACAGCCGCTTGTCGGAACAACAGGATGATGATTGGAGGATGCATGGATATGGTGCCTTCCCATACTGGGGTGATTATCAATGCTATCCATATTTCCCTCAGGATCATAGGTCTCCATCGGTCCCAGGAGACTTGCCATCGACGTCCAGACATGTGGATAGGGGATGTCCGACCTCCCCTGAAACATCGTCCTCAAGCGACCATCACCACTATTGTCCAGACTCAGACGAGTTAGAGGTCGACTCTACATCCCCCAATGTAGTGATTACCTCCCAAGGACCTGCTTCACCCGATGAGCCACATGTCCCCTTTACGGAGCTCATGTCCCGCCTCGTTTGTTCCCTCGAGATCGAAGTGAACCAACAGCCTGGTCCATCCATGGATCGGTTCTATGATGTCGTGAGGGGAGAGCAGTCCGCGGCCATAGCCCTGCTGCTAATCACTGCACTTCGGCAGGCTATGGTCCAACCCTGGGATCAACCGGCCAAACCGCAGGCCACCTCCCATCGGTATGAGGCCATGTACAGAGTTCAAGAGGACGACATCCCATTCTTGATCCACCACCTGAGACCGAACTCTGTCATGGTTGAATCCTTCCAGGGCAGGGAGTCCAGGAGGCACACGGCCCCTCGCAACAAGGAAGGGAGGAAAATTGATATGCTCGCGCGCCGAGTCTATGCGGCCTCTGGGCTCGGCGTACGCATATCGAATTATGAAACAACACTGACAAGTTACCAGTATTTTATTATGCAAAAGCTGGATAACGTTGCTTCTTCCCTCCCAGACCACCAAGCTGACCTCGCCAGGGTCTTCATTAAAGAAGTGATGCAGGTGGCAGTGCAACAGTTGTCTACTGCACGACACCATGTAGACAACAATTCGAGGGCTCTCGTTAATGCCATCTCATTGCGCCGACATGCGTGGCTCCGCAATTGTAATTTCCCTGACGAGATGAAATGGAGGATCAAGGAAATGCCATTTGACAGCACCAGGTTGTTCCACCAAAAGACCAACGGCAAGCTAAAAGCAATACATGAATCGCGTATGACTGCGCGTCGTATGGAGCTTCCTCAACAGAAGCGTAAGTGGCAGTGACCTCGTTCCTCCTATCGTCAACAATTCCACCCTTGGCAACACTACCGGCAGAGGCAGCAACGTCAGAGGCAGCACCCGCAGCAACGTTTTTCCCAGGGCCATAGACGTTTCGACGCCAATAAACACCAACATTGACGGCCTGGGTGAACCATCTTCTCTCTTCTGACACCACCTTCCCCTCTCCCTTTTGGGGACCGGCTCCAGGGCCGACTCCCCATTTAGGAGTCCATTACATCTGATAGGTGGATGTTGTCTGTCATTCAGTTTGGATATAGGATAGAATTCGATGTCATCCCTCCATCGAGTCCGATTTGATTTACATCTTCTTGATCGGTACTGTGCGACGAAGTCTCTCAGTTGCTTCACAG